ACGGTATCTTTTCATCAATATTTTCTCTAGGTTCAAAAATAATTCCAAAAGTAGCTAGCTTTGTTTCAAACAACAAATCACTTATTCCATCCGGGGCTAAAGCTATAGGATCTGTCGCGGAAGCGGGAAAGAGTATAAGCGACGCAGTTGAAAGAATTACAGCTAATAAGAGAACTGCGAAACAGGAGATTAGAAGAAAGGAAAGGAAAAGGTTTTAAAGTTATAGGATAAAAATGATAGTCGCACACGCTCCAAAAACTTATTTTGGTTCAGATATACAAAAGTCATTAGGCTCTCTTCCTGGTTTTCCACGGGCGAAATATCCCGGAGAAAAACATCTTGCGGGTCAAAATTTCACCGGTCCAGGTACCAGGTTAGATCTACGATTAGACGAAAACGATAAACCCAAACCAGGAGAAGAACCAGTCAATAGAGTTGATGCTGCTACACTTAAACACGACATACTATACAGAAATAAAGACAAAATTCAGACACGAAGCAGACAGACAAATGATAATCGAACTTGAAAATATTCCAAATCCAAGAGAGAATGCAAAGGGCTCTAATCACTGTGGAGACATATCGTATTCATTAAAAGAGAAGACATCTTTTGTTTACACTTTTATTCCGCCATCACTAACCGAACTATCTTACCCATTCACTCACTCTTCTATTCATTCGCACACACTCATTAATATGCATTAAGCATACCCAAAATAAGGTTTGTCACAAACCTCCCCCCTTACATTAAATGTCTCCGACATTTACAAATGTTATAATAACATATAATATATATCATACTGTAATAGCACATAAACTATTTAAAATAAAAATGTTATAACCTTACTTTGATTATTACTTTACGTTTTTAGAAAATGAATATAAAACTTAATAACATCCCCTCCCCGTTAAGAAACACCTAATTATTCGATGGGTCAAAACGGACTTCAGGTTTGGGTATTCTAGATGAACGTCTCGGATTAAAGGTATGTTCAGAAGAAGGTTTTAATATTGATATGGGTTTGGGTTCTTTGGTGGTTATATTATTCTGCGTGTCATCAGTCTGATCCGCATCACGAGTATAAGTGGGTTTTAAGTTTTTAAAGTGAACTACAACTTTATGGTAAGATTTGTGATCTATAATCTCATTAATAACTTCATATGGAACTTTCCACCTAAATTTCTTTAATTCGCCTTCATTATAAACCATTCTACGCAAGTAAACTTTATCTCCTAAATTATAGGCTTCTCCTCTTACTTTTTTATCAAACCAATTCCTTTGACGTTCCGCTGCTAATTTTGTATCTCTATTCACTTCCTCAAAACAACTTTTAGACGATCTCTCAAATATTTGGCATAAGAATCAACCGTTTCTAAATTTGTTGGTGTATTTGTTCCAAATTAAACATGAATAGAAGTCCTCGGAATCCTTCCATAAACAAGCATTGCGGGAACATGTTTTGTGGTAGCATGTTTTGTTGAATTGTAAGCTTAGCAAATTAGAGGTACATATTTGTCCCATTCCACAATTTTACCTTTAGCACACTGCTTCACCATTGCTGACAGCGATTCTGCAATTACTTTATTTGAACGCTCGACCTGTCCATTAAAACGTGGGGTGTAAGGAGGATATTTGGTTTTGCAAATACAAATCAGTATTTAATTTCGACATAAAACATGCACCTTGATCCGTGTGTATCACCTCTGGGATTCCAAAATGTGGTATAAAACGATCTATTAAAATTTCAGCTACTGTTTCAGCCTCTTGATTAGGTACAGCATATGCTTCTAAATACTTGGTAAATTTACATTGTAGAACTAAAATATATCTTTTGTTTCGTGCTGACCTTGGTAGTGGACCCTGGAAATCCATTGACACAATCTGAAAAGGTCTCTGGGCTATAACTGGATGGAGAGGTGCGTTTAAACCTGGTGTTGGTGATTTTCGTAGAGCACATACCAAACAAGATTTACAATAATCTTTTACATCTTGTCATGTGCAGCCCGAAGAACATCATTTACTAGAGATCGTGGTATGACGATGAGTTATACGTCATTTCGTCCACCATGCGTTTCGTCTTTCTTGTATAAGATACCCCTCTTTACGCGTAAACAGTCTAAGATGCGAAGATATGGTTGTAAAGATAGTGGTGGTTTCAACGGTTTTACTCTAGTTTTTAGTATAATTTGAATAATGTCTTGAATTATATAATCTTCTTGTTGAGCTACTTCAACAACTTGACTGGATAGTATTGACACAAAATAGGCATCCGCATTTCCGTTATGTTTTGCAGGTCTATACTGTATCTCATAGTCGAATTCTTCAAGATCCAAACTCCAAGTTAATCTTGAATTTTCACTTTTTGATGTTTTTAGAAAAACCAATGGTCGATGGTCGGTTAACAGATCAAAGTATGTACGAGCGAAATACTTTAGTAGCCCAAACTATACCTAAACATTCTCTTTGTATAGTTGAATAATTGCACTCAGCTGAAGATAGTGATCTGGACGCGTAAGCTATGGCGTTGTTCAAAAGTGAATCAATGACTCTTTTGTGAAGAACACTAGTTGTAGTCTGAATCTATTCTTGTTTGAGTTGTTTCCCTATAGTACACTTCCTGAAAAGAATGGCTGTCATGCCTGAACAGAAAACAAGGTGGTTTTTGTATATTCATAGTTCCCAATCAAGTATACTGTTAACTATGAAGGGTTAACAGTTAAAGAACTATACAGTCCTCAATAATTTCAATCTATTAAGAACAGGTGTGTAGTAGTATATGTCTTTTCGGATATGACGCATTTCACTTCTGCGCATGCGCAGCTTTTTCAATGCGTCATATCCGAAAAGACACAACTGCTAAAATGTATTATAACAGACTCCTCAAACTGCTAAAATGTATTATAACAGACTCAGCATTCTCCATACTACATATAAATATCCAACCACACAAGATTCACTATAATAATACAGTATAAAATAACCCCATTAAAAATAACATGTCTTTAATTTTAAAACACGAACAAAAAAAATTCGAAGGAGACGGTTTCTTCTCAGCTCTATCATCTCTCATCTCCAAAGTAGCCAACTTTGTCTCAAACAATAAATCGCTCATTTCCTCAGGAGCATATAAGAGAAATGCGAAATAAAAGATTAGAAAATAAAAAAGGCAATGGTTTTAAAATTATTGGATAAAAATGTCAATGATAATTGCACAAAGTCCTAAAATTTATTTCGGTGTGGGAGACATTCAAAAGTCATTGGGTTCTCTTCCAGGATTCCCATGGGCAAAATATCCCGGAGAAAAACATCTCCAAGGCACAATTATACAGGTCCAGGCACGAGATTAGATCTACGATTGGATGAAAATAATAATCCCAAACCAGAGGAAGAACCCGTTAATAGAGTTGACGCAGCAGCGCTCAAACACGACATACTGTACAGAAACAAAGACATAACATTCAGACACCAAGCAGACAAACAAATGATAGACGAACTCGAAAATTTTCCCAATCCCACTTTCAAAGAGAAATTACAAAGGGCTCTTATCATAAAACTCTTGAAGGCAAAATTGAAATTGGGTATGGGCATTGCAGACGAGATTCACAAAGAATTTCGAAAAAACGAACATTACCTCAAAGTCAAAGTTTTTGATAAAAATGAAATTTGGTCAGCCGATTTAATCAACATGCCAGTCGAGAGAGGGTACAAGTATTGTTTGACGGTGATCGACATATATACGAGATATGCATGGGTCTTTCCCTTGAAAAACAAATCGGGTCTGACTGTCAAACAAGCATTCGAAACCATAATGAAATTGTTGGTTGATAAAGGAAGCGAATTCTACAACAGAAATGTGAAATCTCTGGGGTTTGAAATTTACAGCACGCATAACGAAGGTAAGGCCGTAGTGATAGAAAGATTCAACAGGACTCTTAAAAAAGCAAATTATTCAAGAAATTCACGGAACTGAAATCTCAAAAATGGCTTAAAATATTACCAGTTGTTGTCGACGAATACAATAACAAAATACATTCGTCTATAGGTGTGACGCCAACACAAGTCTCGAATAACCCAAATATCATAAAGTCAACACTCGAAACAACTTTGAAAACGAGATAAGCAATTTGAATATTAAACCCAAATTCAAAGTTGGAGATCGAGTTAGTATTTTTAAATATAAATCATTGTTTCAGAAAGGTTACGTCGGGTATTGGACTAACGAGATATTCATCGTTGATAAAGTAAACACCACATCCCCTCCACGTATGAATTGATCGATCAAGACAAAGAACAAATCATAAGAAGGTTTTATCAAAATGAACTTCAAAAAAACTTTTAAAAATGAATCTCGAAAATGAAGATTTAGATGAAAGGTTAAGAAATTCAGATGTCGACAAACATTTACGCTTTCTTAAATTAAAATTTTTTAAATTTAAATGTAAATTTATCTTCAAAATATTATTGAATGTGTTTTATCAGAATGTTATACAAGTTTTTTCAAACACAAACTATTGCTAGCAGAACTAGACAGGACCGCGGACAAAACCGAGTTACAAAATTCAGTATCCAAATTGACAAAGATACGTTGAAACGACAATTGACTGCTTTGGATACTAAAATCTCGGACGAATTAGAAAAAGAAGTGGGTGTGATTAAAAACTTTCTTCAAAATAAATTTCGAGATTATATGTAAAATTATATTAAAGAACAGGTCAATCTTTTGGTATCTAGAATTCATGACGATTTTTTGAGACAAGAGTGAAAGTTGAGCAAATTAGAAGCTATTGTCACGGACAAATCGTATTATTTCAATCTTCCATTCGAAAGTGACACTGTCTTCGATAGAAAAGACCAAAGTTATAAATCAAACAAATACGGATTCAAAGCAGAAATAAAAGTAGCTTCTCGCGTAGACGGAGAACCTAAAAACGTATTCGATATCGGCGAAACGCAAGGGTTTACTTTTCGAGGTAATTGTCTGATTCAAATAGAGTTTCCCATGAAGGTTAAAGTCAATAAAGTAGTCTTCAAACAAACCGGTAAGGCCGTCAAACATATTTCATTATCCAATGATGGTAATTTGGAAGAGAATATACGTTTGATTGATAAAAGGGATCAGGAAATTGAAACGAAAAATGGTAAATATGTAGACACCTTTAAAATGGAAGTAGAAAATGATAAGGATATCATTGGAATCAAAGATTTAGATATGATATTGGAGACGGAAAATCCACCATCAACCAACATTGTCAAAATTCCACGACACGTACACGGATCAATAGAATCGAGCAGTCACGAGTTGTTACGAACAACAGACTTTGAATACGTAAAACTATATTTCGCTTTAGGTGAAAAATACACCTCGATCGATGTTCATAAAAGTCAACAAGAACGAGAGTTTATAGTACATTTAATGTTTGCCGAAGGTTCCGACTCCATCCTTGAAGGTGGTGGTTTTATTTCTAGAGCCAAGATAAACATCGAAAAAGAAAAAATGAAATATTCCTATCATCTTAAAGAGGACCATACGAAAAAAGAAATGTCGTTAGTACGCGTAAATGTTTTTACTTTTAATACCCGCAAATATAATAATGCTAGGCCAAACAAGCACGCTCTATACGATATTCCGTGGTTCTATTTATCGGAAATTCACTTAATTTAACGACTTAAAAAATGGAACTCGAAAGCAGACAACAATACATGATAGACAAACAAGAAGAGTTGAAAATAGAGTTGAGACAGTACAATACATGCAGGAAAACATGGAGTAGAATCGATTCTTTTTTCAAAACAGCGAGCACAGTTCTAACGGTAGGAGTAACGGTGTCAACGGCCGTGACTGGTGGATTAATGCTTCCGGTCATCGTCCCAACCGTATTGCCTGCATTAACAGCCGTTCAAACGACCTCTTGCGGTCTCATCACTTTAGGTTTCACGAGCAAAAAGAAAGCTCATTATAAAAAGAAAACAGATATCTTGAATATGTATCTTAATCAATTGTACATCTCTTCGAAAGATCGAGAGAAGACAAGAACTGAACAGTTGAAAAAGAATTCAATGAAATTTTGGACAAATTCCATACAGAAATATCAGCGGTCAAAATAAAGAAATAATTAAAAATATATACTTAAAAAAATATGAATAAAATCGAACTTGATGAAACATTGATAGAAAACGCCCTTTTTTCCGATGTTATCAAGGCTATCTCTGATAAATTTAAAACATTTAAAGGACAAATTTAAATAGATGGAGAGATAGTCGAGGAAGGGAATCACAGACAATACATGTCACTCCTCGGTTTCAATGCCAAAGCTTTTCACAATATCTTTTTAAATATGGACAAAAAATCCGATGCTTCCGAT